CCGGGGGTGAAGCGTCCCCGGACCGCAGAATGGAGGGGCAGCACAGACTCACGAGACGTTGAGCGATATTCTGTATTTTTGCAGCTTCTATTTTCCACATGAGCAGTTTAGAAATATGTCATGTAAAGTACATATGTACGTTTGCTGAAAATTATATTAAAGGCACTATTTTAATTCTTCCTCTGTCTCCTCACTCATCTCTGCCAGCTTTGTCTGTGGGCTGCAGGACCCCGGAGACTCTGGAGCCCGGCCCTGGCCCTGGCCCTGGCCCTGGCTCTTACACGGTTATGGGCTTTGGCGCCAAAGAGCCCTGGGCTCACCTCTTCACCGCTGCCCTCGCCACCGGCGTGGGCTGAGCACATGGGCCGACTCCTCTGAGCCCCGTTTTCCCTCTGTAAACCGGGACGCTGGCGGCTGCTTTCTACAACAGGTCAGCGCAGGGGGCGCCTGCGCGGGGGCAGCAGGTCATGGCCGCCCCGCCTCAGGCAGGGCCCCGAGCAGCCTCTGGCTGTCCTCCGGGTTCTCCCGCTGTCCGTCAGCCCTGGAGCCGAGGGGCGGCCCGGGAGCGCGTGAGGTTTGCCGGAGGCGTGGGAAGGCACAAAGGGATGGTGCTGCGCTGGCCCGGCGCCTGTGGCTCCAGCCCCTCCTCAGAGCAGCGGCAAGCGTGGCCGCCCAGGCTCTAGGGCCACCCGAGGACGCGCTCCGGCCACCGCCCGCCCCGGTCCTCATCGGCCCCGTCCTCCAGGCAGCTTCTCGCCCACAGACTCACATGCACGGGGTGCTGGGAACGCACAGCCCAGAGTCCCCGACACCCTCACGGCACCGCAGGCCAGACGGGGCGCCAGGATCGGACGCTCGCACTCCGTGTTCCCTGCCCAAGGCCCAGGGCCCCCCGCCTTGCCCAGTCTCTTCACACCCCTCCAGCTGGCTCGCGCCCTCCGCAGCGCCGCCCTGCCCACTCAGCCCCGGCGAGCTGCTCAAGCCGCCTACTGCCTATGGCCTTTTCCCCTCTGGCCACCGAGTCAGGGGACGTGCGCCGTGGCCAGTCACCTTGTCCGAGGCCCACGTCTGCTGAGCCCGCCTCTGTGATTTATGGGGCTGTTTATTTTGTTTATTTTTTGCAAAGCAATATGATTTATCCTCCCTGGGGTAAAAATCCCAAGAGAACGCAATTTCAACACTCTGGGTCCTGAGGTGAGAAGACGCTGAAGCTGCTGAAGGAGCGGTCGGGCCCCTGGCGGGAGCCGGCCTCATGTGCCCTGGACGCTCGGTGGGAGGCGGGAGGACGCCAGGGGCCAGTGCAGCGGGAGGTGGCCGCGCATTGGCCCGAGAGCTCATGTTTTTTCTCATCTGTGGCCCAATTTCCTCTCTCTTGCTATCTTTCCCCCAGAAAGGTGGCTTATTTACGGAGACCTCCTCTCTCCCATTGGCTCGACTTCACAAAGACGTTACTCCTTAATGGCGCCAAGGTGCGTCCTCTGGTCCTTAAGGGCCCTGAGAGGGCTGTTCACACAGGTTACTCAGCCAACTCAGGGACAAAAGCCAGGTGAAATTCCAAAAGTCCCCCCCACCCGACCCCGTGTCCCAACAGTGGCCTCCGGGCTTCGCCATAACCCCACAGTCAGTCCCTCTTGACACAGAGACAGAAACCCAGCATGGCCTCGCCCTCGGACTTCGCGGTGAGCCAGCCGGCAGCCAGCACGTGGAGCAAACAAAATGCCTTCCTGTGGCTGCAGGGGGCCCAGAGCCGCCAGTGTGCCCGCTTCACGAGAGCTGCTTGTTTGGTGTTAGGCTGTTACCCGCTGTCTCCATGACTAGTTCTACGGCACAGCTCACACACAGGGCAGACAGGCTGGCTTTCCAGAAAGCGCTCACAAAAACGTCCTCGTCTCCCCCACTCGAGGACCCCCCCGGCCGCATGCCCGCTCTCTGGGGCCCAGAGGAGTGCGTGCTCGGCGTGTCTTGTCCGTGGCCCTCTCACGTCTGCTTCGCATAAGGGAACGGCGGGGGAGGGAAGGAACGGGCCTGAAGCACACCGGCCGGGAGCCACGGCGTGTGTGCTCACTGGCCCAGTGATGCCTTGAACTTGACGAGACTCAAGCCATGGTGCTCGCTGGTCTACGAGATTCCTGGACCTCAGACCCAGGCGCGGGGTCTTTGCCAGCCACCCCAGAACTGCCGTCCCAGGGGAACAGAAGTGGGAGACCTGCTCTCGGGCTTCACGGCCCCATCGTCAAGGGCCTTTCCCCGGGCCTACACCCCCGCCCCGCCCCTCCATGCTGTGGGGCACTTACTCTGTATGGAGGCAACTGTATTTTTCATTGTAAAATCAGCGCTCGAGGCCCTCCCTGGTGGCGCACCGGGTTAAAGCGCAGCACTGAGAGGCTAAGGCAACTTCCACATGAGTTTGATTCCCACCTGCCCCGGAGGTGACCACATGGTGCGGCAGACCTCTCCTGACCCACCCGCTGCTCCCCTCAGCAGTGGACTTCATCCATCTGCCTGTTCTGCTCCCCACTCTGTCTCTGGTGAAGCCTCTCGCTGCCCCTGAGCCTCTGGCCTGTACCCCAGTTCTGTATGTACAAATAAATAAATCTTTAAAAAAAAAATCAGCGCTCAATATAGCTAAAAAGAAAACAGCCCCGAGAAGATGGCAGTTCCTTCTGCTGTTTCTAAAATAATCCCCGCCTAGCTCTTCAAGGTTTATGCAAATGGTGAGGAATTAGGAGGCGATGGGTGTCCCAAGCCAGCGGACAGGTGAGACTTCGTTTACATCACTGAACCGGCCCTGGAGGAGGCTCCTGCCGTCATCCCCTCAGCTGGGGCTACATCAGCCCCAGACTCCTGAGGCAGCCAGGGGAGCTGCGCAGTCTCAGGCCAGCGCAGCCTCCAGGAATCCCTGGGGCTGGGGCCCCGCCCTCTCCTCCCGGGGAGTCCATGCTGGGGGCGGTGGTCGGGGTGTCTCCACTCACCCCACCTTTCCCACTGGCACTCGCCGGCTGGACGAAGCCCAGGGTAGGTTAGGACGCGGCAGGTCCCTCACAGCGGCGCTTCCGAGCTGAGCCAGGACAGCAGGCTGCGGGCCTGGGTCTCCGCCCAGCTGCCTCCGGCCTGGCCACGCGAGGCAGGTCCGGACACCGCGCTGCCCTTTCTGTGGCTCTCGATGCGAGGTCGGCTGCATGGCCTCTAGGGGTGTCTGTAACGTCCGTCATGGGCACCAGTAGTAACGTGTTCCCTTGAGACGTCTCCTTTCCGGCCAAATAACACAAACCAGCTCGTTTACCAGTTCTTGCCGCCATCTTGCTCTCTGGGGACCCTCTTTCCTGTGAGCAGCTGCTCCCTGGGTGGCTCCGGGTCGATTCCTTCACTGTGAAGTCATTTTCCTCACAACACAGGTTTGCCTCACTCATCAAGGCACAGTCCTACTGGGGTTCTCCAGGCCACATTCTGCGCCACCCGCCCAGGAGCCAGGGGGTCCACATCCATGGGAGTGGGGTCTGCAGAGCCCCTGTCCTTCTCCCTCTGGCACAACACCTTGCCTGGGTGCTGGTGGTTTCTCGAGGGAGCGGAGGTGCCAGCCTCTCCTTGGCTTCCGCCCCTTGCTCCTGTACAACCGCAGCTTGCTCCCTCCAAGTGAAGGAACCCAGCCCCTTACCCAAGCGGTTCTGAGTATTCAGTGCCCTGGGGCCACTTGCAAAGGAGGTGTGGGTGGAGGCTTCTCCACACCAGCCAGCACCCTCAGACCCCAGCCGGGTGGTCTAAGAACTCCAGTCAGTTCCCAGATAGCATCGGATCCCACAGGCGAAGCAGCAGCCTCTCCACTCTCCGCTCCAGGTGCTGGCAGCAAGTGCGGGCTGCCAACCAGCAGGAGCTTCCGGCCCCACCTGACTTTAGCTGCCCGCTGCAAGCCCAGGCTAATATCTGTGTTTCTGACCAACTGGCTAGCCGAGGCTCCACCATGTCCGATGACTGCGCTACAACACCACACAGAGCTCGTTTGGCACCAGATCACCAGCAGATTACAAAGGCCTTAACTCAGGGCTAGCCAGAGACAAGGGGTCCCAAGGGCGCGGTGTGGGGAAAGGCACCGGAGGTCCAGCACTCGGGCCAGATCAGTGGTCGCCAAACTTGATGTTTATAAAGCCCCTTCTCTGGGGACTGTATGGAGACTTGATTACCTAGGCGTGGTGAATGAACTCATTAGCCCCTGGGGACTGAACTCAACCTCTCCAACTCCTCTCTGCTCCCAGGAGGTCAGGGAAAAAAGATTGACAGTTCCACCCGCTATTCAAGTTGGTTTCCTTGGCAACCCGCCTCTCATCCTCAGGAGTTTTCCAAAAGTTACTATCAGCTTACCCAGGTTGCCCGAACACTCCCAACACTTAGGGGACTCCCAAGTAGGGCTGTGAGGGGCCCAAACACGTTTGGGAAATGCATCTCGGGGTCATCTGAAAGCCAACTCATGTGCTTCCTGTAAGTCACAACGACACACCGCTCTGCGTCCGACGCCTAGAAAAAGCTCAAGCGCGACAAGGACCCTTCCT